GAATGACGTGCTGTCTAGGTTATCTCTCTCTCTCACACACACTCTCCCACACGATCGGCCGTGTCTAACCTCATCAGAACGATGAGTGTTTCTGTTTTCTTCTCTTTTTTTCACGTAACACCGAACGCTTTAGTTAACGTGACATCCAACGACAGCCGTCAGAACCAAAAAAGAGACACAAAGTAAACAACATGAAAACATGACCCGCTACCAGCTCCGATCTCTCGTAGAAGAGCGACAGACGGGCTAATTTTTTTCTCAACACCTCTCTTTCGTCTCACTTCCACCGCCCCCTCCCCCCCAACCCCTCCTCCCCTCTATCCCCACTCTCTCACTCCCACACACTCTCTCATACCGAACAGCCCCAAGCCTTGTTGTGTTCAGGACGTACGTGATGACTCGAGCTGACAGGTGAAGGTGTCGTCACCGTTTTCCACCCCTACCTTTTCAGCATGTTGCCCTTTCATACTGCCTCTTAGAAGAAAGGTGCGTTACCCGCAATTTAAAAAGGTCTGTACTCTTGAACAAGTTTTAATCAACTTACTGTCGCAGAAAATATTCTCAATTTACCAGTAGTTAATGTTGCTACAATTTGTGTCGTGATTTAACAGTTCTTTTTCAGCTCTATCGTAAATTTGCGATGACGAATACACTAGTAAACTGACGAATGCAGTTGAAGTATAAATTCAACAAGTATTTTTATAAAAGGTGGGACAAAAGTTCCATCCTATGGACATTTAGTATAGTTACACAACGTCTAGGATGTTCGTCTTGCTCGTGACAATCGCAGGCAGCTCTGCTACCAGACCCTCGTTTCTATGTGATTGACCACCAAAATGTCATTCTGTCTCAAACGTAACCCGTCCCCTGTCAAAACGATACGTTCAAATCACATTTTCAGTCGCTACTACCTTCTCTTTGTCCTCATCGGAAACTCCGGAAAAGACCTTGGGGCGAACGCCCCCATCCCCCCTACTTCTTTTCTCCCTAGTAATAAAATACATGTGTGATTCGCCCAAATCCTTTGACCAGCCAGTCGGTTCAGTTGGTCTGCTTGCTCCGTTCCGCCCACCCGAACCCGCCGCACCACGCCTCCACCCCCGCCGCGCCCCGCTCCGATGGAATGCGGAGGGAAAATGCGCGATCCTTTGCCGCTTATTCCATTTCGCGACGGCGTCGCCGACGACACCCCGGCGACGCCGCACGGCGGGGCACGGCGCGGGGTCGTCGCGCGCAAGGGGTGTATAGGCCTTGACCGAAATAACATGGAATCCCGGGCCCGCTTCTCTCGCTGGGGGAGCGTGAAAAATGCTTTGCCATGTTGCTGCTCGGCCGAGGGGAACAGAGGGTAAAAGAGAGGGGGGGGGGGATTAGGGGGGGACGGCGCAATGCGACGAGGGCAATGAAAAGATGGCAGCATTATGTGGCCCGTGCTTTCATTCATCCTCATATAACAAGAAGCGAAGCTCTCCTAGCGGGCTGCGTGCGTGGTGTCGGGGAGTGGTGTGAGGCTCTGTATGGGCGCAGAAAGCAACACGGCTGCAGAAGCGTCTAGAGAATGCTTTGAAGAATCGCTTTGAGACAAAAGTAAATATTGACATCAATCTTCAAGTTTCTTTGCATACTATAGTTTACTTTTTTATTCGGCCATTCTATGATTAAGAATTCTCATTTAAATATGGTTTACGAATTTGGCTGTATAGTGGCAACACTTCTAAATGCCGATGTGAGAAATAGATTTACGAGGTCAATTACGCTCCAATCTAATGGGTTTTTCCAAACTTTCCAATGCTTATGGACGCTATGGGAACAACCTCCCAGTACGCAAAAGTGAAAACCTTCTTGCATGCGGAGTTGTAGAAATTGGGATTATTTCTGAGGTCGACAGTCCAGGGAGTTATTGTTCGAAGAAAAATCATTTTACACCTCCTCCAAGTGTTTCTAGATTAGTTGGTTTTGGTACCCAAGAATAAATGGCAAGGAACGAAAAGGATCGAAAGTCTTAATTTACAATGCCACCAATTCTTTCCATGCTTCAAAGCATCACTTCGCAGTGGCGAAGCATCGTTTTGTAATCGTAAAGTACTTTACGTAAATTACAAAGGAATTGAATCCTTCGCAATGCTGCAAACATTTACTTTCAAGAAATTTAACAGTGGAAAATGTTCCACATGTACCATCTGCATGCCCTAAAAGACACGTGCCCGCTGAGCCGCTGGCGCGCGGCCGCCCCGCAGTTGTTGAGATGAGTGAGCGATATAAGACGCATTGACACAGAAATTGCGAGCCGTGCCAACAGAACTGTCCGGACGCGATGCAATGCGTGTGTGACAGCCACAAGTGCGGGGCTGGGCCGCGGTAAACGGAAATCAATGTCTGCAGTGCGCGCGAGCGGCGCGAGCACGACATGGAGGGTGGCGGGGCGGGTGGCTGATCAACATGTCCTTTACTTCTCTTGTAGCGCATGTTTGGGCAAGCAGTTGCCTACTCGCCCAACCCGTAAGTGCTCATCTTGAAAGTACCAGGTGATTCAGACAAGACGCAGGTGCGGGCGGGTTTGCCTACTCACCGCTGAAAATTGGTTAGCGTCTTATGACACCAAAATATTGGCGTCCTTTTGGAAGACGCCAAATCTATTTCTAGATGTTATTTTTTACCGTGTGCGACCGTGTGTTTCACTTGACCGGGAAGGGGGTAAAGTCTGCCGAGTTGAGAGCAATCGCACGGGGGAGAGGGGTACATCGTACTGTTCCGAGCCCGCCACATGCCACCGGGGGGCGCCCGCAGGGCCAGCAGAAGATCTGGCGCTGCGTCGGCCTGCCTCGACGCGCTTCCCTCACCGGCACTGCCGGCACTTCTCTACCGGAATGTTTACGGGTTCCCCGGCGCCTGACCCCTCCATTCAGCTGGAAACAAAGTAGCGACACCTCTCCTGACATATTGGTCCCCCCCGCCCGACAGAGACGCACGGCGCAGTGTGGCGAGGTGCAAGCCAAGCGGGCTCCTGTACTTCAGGCCCACTTGCAGCGAATTGATATTGAGAACCTCCATCAATCCCCCTCCATTCCCCCGTCTGCCCACTCCCACTCGGTTCCCTCTTTCCCCCACCCCCTCTCTGTTCGCTCGTTCCCCCTTAATTCTGAGGCCCGCTCCGTCATTGTCTGTCTTTGTCACACGCACTGTCTCCTCCCGGGCCGTTTCACCCCGTCGGTTCGTACACATCAGTGTATTTGCTCTGCTATGGATCTCACTGCGGGGAGGCCGACCTGGTGAGCCTTATGGCGAGCCGGCTAACCCTCACTGTCAGTCAGCAGGCGAGTTCACCGCTGGGGCCAGCGAAGGTCGATTTTAAAATTACCTCATATTTTCCTGACCAAAATAACGTTTCCCCACACAACTTAAGAATGAGGCACAGCGGCGTTCTGCTGATATTTGAAAATCGACATTTTCTTACTTTCTGAGGAAGAAATTGGAAATCAACTTTTTTCTGGTTTTCTGACAAAATTTGAAAATCCTGACATTATTTTGAAAATGACGTTTACAACAGTGCTGACTTTTTTCTCTGGCGCGCGGCGTCCCTGCGCCAGTTTCCCCCCTCCTCCGACCCACTCGCTGCTGCGCTGTTCACAAAATGTTCCCTGACTACTGAATTTGTCATACGGCTACTCACACGGCGAGGCTTTCCCTCGTGGCCCAGTCACGGTTGCGGACCACGGTGCGCAGGCAGAAGCCGCCCAGCACGAGCATGGCTGCGACCAGGATGACGTGCCGTTGTCGCACGAACAGCGCGTTCCACAGCAGCTGGGACCCGTACACCACCAGCAGCACCATTCCCAGGCTGAAATCAAAACACAGGTTCAAAGTTTAAAAATTAAAGAGAAAAAATATATTTAGGCAAGACATGTGTAGTAAAAACTAGCCCTAAAAATCGAGTTCGACTCCTAGAAATTGGAATGGATTAATTACCTTGGAATGTAGAGCACACGCTCGGCTATGACAAAGCCCACCGTCACGAGGAGGTTGGAGGCGGGCAGGAATGGTATGCAGAGGAGCAGCAGCCCCAGGATGAGAGGCGGATGTCTCTGAATCTGTACAATCGACAAAAAAACGCCGTAAAATGACCGGATTCGTTCTTAAGGCAAAGTGTTGTTGTCTTTTTAATCTTAAGAAGTCACGATCGAACAACAATCCACGACTCACCTCAAAGTCTACGAGGCAGCGGTAGGCGACGAGCAGACCGACGCCGAACAATGCGCAGGTGGCCAAGTTGCGGCAGTCGCCCAACGAGGTGACCAGCGGCACGGACCCGAACTGCCAGTCATGCGAGAGAGTCGATGGGCACAGCAGCAGCCAGCAGTTGAGCGCCGCCAGGTAACAAAACGTCAGTAATCTGCAAGAACAAAACAATTGAACAAAAATTACTATTGCAAAAATACAAATAACATTGTCAGAGTTTTGTCACGAGCGCGGCTGTGAGCGGGGTACCGCCGGGCGGGCAGGCTAGGCAGCTCCGAGGCGCCGTATACGACACATCGGGCTAAGTGGTCGTACGGCCCCCGCGTGTTATTGCTCCTGCCGCGCCGCCGCCCGCCACACCTGTCGCTCTCCCTCCTCCCGCCCTTTACAATGTAGCAAAGCACAAGACAAACATTAATTTCAAAGTTTCCCGCGAACGAGAAAAGACGTAACTTTTGTTTGCTTTAACCTGTCTTGGGGGCGCGGCGTGGCGCGGCGGAGCGGCGCGGACGCGCACGGGTGGAGGATGCCAAAGGAGCGAAGGTGGCGGGAAAGAGGGGGGGGGGAGGGGTTAGGTGATCGCAGCGACAAGTGTAAACTTTGCAAGGGCAGGCTGCGAGCCTGGGCTATCCGCACTAGAGTTATTCGCTGAGATTTGACAGCCATAAAATATACATTTTCATAACACACTTCGGGTTGCTGACCTGTGAAGCGCGTCCGCCCCATAAACCCCGGCAGTGCGAGCCGCGGGTTGAGACGTGAGTTAGAACACCGGCGCCCTAAGAAACAATCCATCTATCTATACTTTTCACTTTAATTATTTTCCGAATGATAATTTTAACACTGCCTTCATTTAATGCCCTTTCGGAGTAATCAGTACCTTAGTAACTATTATTCTCTTAATTCAAGTACCTAATCAGAATGGGATAAGAACAGATCAGAGAAGAAAGGGGTGAAATTTTCTGTGAAACTTGAGTTATTTAGACAACAATGAACAATGCTACCTGGGTGGCGGCATCAGCGGGTGTTCTCCCCGTTCGGACCAGCTCTGAACGCTGCGCAAAGTCACTTGCACGGAAAAGGGAAGAGGGGATGCGAGTGGTAGGGAGGATACGAGGAGGGACAGAGAGGGAAAGGGGGAGAGGGAGAAAGACCGCCACCTCGAGCGACCCTCGGCGTCAATCTGTCTCTCTCTCTCTCTCTGCTGTCCCGATCGCCTGGCTGCATCCGAGGACAATAAGAAGGACCCAAGGCTTTGTGGTCTGAGATGCTGAGTAGTGTCCTTTGGGGCGACAGTGAGGGAGGGAGATAGGAAAAGTGAGTGAGTGAAAAATAGAGGGGAAACGGGCGAGAAGGGGAGGGGATGGTGCTCAAATAATGCTACCAAATCCCTTTCGCGCTACTCCTCAGCTGGCCACTCCCTCCGCTTTTTATATCACCCCCAGTGAGACCGTTGATTTGCCGAGTTTTCTCCGATAGCCGCCCTAAACCCTGGCCAGGTATGGCGCGGCGTGCAGCCACGGCCGCGGGCCCTTTTAATTGAAACTTCACCAACTCCATTCCCCCACTTACTTTCTTCTTCCCTTCTAGAGCTCTCACTTTACGCCATACTTGTGGTCTCTGGAATGGCCCAGGTGGGCGGCCGGGAGTCCCGATTGGTTCGCGGGGCCGAGCGAAGGTCGGCATTTGATTGGTCAGTTGAAGAGTTTTTCGGCAAGGGTTTAGTGGGTATTGGTACAGAAGGTAGGGTACACCCCACCCCTCTTCTACAGAAGCAAGTAAGTGAAGAAACCTAGCCCTACACATACACAAGACGTTTACTTCCCTGACAGGTGGTCTCAGACCTAGAATTTATCTTTTTACAGCTGATAAAATGTCAAACACACTCCTGACACAAAGGTACAAGATCGTCTTTAAAACAAAAATTATCTCTCATTCGAAATATAATTAGGAATTGTTTCAAGAGTAAATTTGATCTCGTGTCAGAAGTAAGCATGAACTTGAAATTCAAACATTTTTCCTTAAAAGACAAACAAAAAAACAATAGTTTTTTTTCCTGGGTTTAATACCTGAAAGCTATCTGTGCTTTTCTACGGCCATAGAGATAGTGCCTCGAAAGCGCCCTCCTACCCCACCCGATACACTGCAGCGTACACAACGTAACACGGTTGCATTATTTGCAGTTCCATAACAGGCTATTGGCAGAGAGGGTGAAGAGAGGCGAGACGTGCGATCGCTCGCGCCTCTCTTTCCTGATCAGCATACAAAGAGATTGTTTGCAAAGCGGATTCGCCTGCCAGCCTTCGCCCTCTCAAGCACCTTCATTCCTCGACATTTTCCAAATCCCTAAAGCACGAGAGAGAAAGAGAGGAGAAGGGTTGTTGCGAGTGCTGAGGGTACGTTTTCACGAAAAAAAAAGTTAAGCTACGAGAGTAAAGTACGGAGCTTATGACGGTTGTCGCATAGAGGAATTAATTTTCCGGGACAGGGAGCCGTCGAAAGACGTACGAGGATCTCGTACCTTCGGCGCACGCAGGGTTGTGAGTGTCAATAGCGCGTTATTAACACGCCTATAAGAGCTGTTTGCTCAACCAAAGGATTCTCTCTCTCTCTCTCTCTCTCTCTCTCTCTCTGCAGGACTGCTAGCGTCAGCACTAGAGGGCTCTTGGAGGACGACGTCAAACAACGCGCCAACGCGTTCTGGGGGCAGACACTGACAAAAATAAGAAAGAACCGTTAAAGGGAGTCGAAAATTTAGACTGCAAATGATTTTGTTTTTAGTCGTCAATTAGAAACAAATAACAACAATGCATCGAGTCTCAGGACTAACCCCTTACAAAACGAAACTATAATTAAATTAATTTGCATCATTTGCCAGAAAATTTAATTAAAGTACAAAGGGTCGTCGCGGATCAGAGCGAGTAGCAGACGTGCAGAGGCGGCAGGGTGAGCGAGGGTGCTGTTGGGTGAAATGTTGAAGTTAAAGTTTTGTCATTCGGGAGCGATTTGCATAGAGCCTCATATGTGCAGATTTATGCGAATGTTTGTTTCGCGAGTAGCTACTACCTGAGTCCGGGGGGCCGGGCTGTCGCGCCTGCCTGTCCCGCCCGCCTGTCCCAAGCACGAGGCGCGCTACACTCCAGCAAGTCAACACGGTACAACACGTGAAATGTAACGTATCTAAGCACTGTAAATTTAAATGCAAATTTAATGCAAAAATGCGTCTAACTACAATTTCCACATGTTATTGTGCCTGCAGAGGCGCTACAAAATTTATCGTACTGAGGCATTCATTGCACCCAAATGTGATAATTTTGACACATTTTGCAGTGATAAAAGTATTATGGCAAGTAGGCAGTCGTTATTGCTTACTGCAAATAAGAATTTTATTTGCAATTTTAAAGCGGTATTGTGGATCAGGGATAACGAAGGAGACTGAACACTTGAGGGGAATACATACTCCAGAGAGAGATTTATTATTCTAGGCGACTTGTGGTGGGATGGGTTAGGATAGAATGCAGTGATAATAACTGTACCCTCCTTATGTAGTGTCAGTAATGCCAACTTAACCTTCCAACTACATCAATAAGTGCGTTTCTTGAGCAAGGCAGAGTGTGTCTTTAAGCGATAATTCTATAATCGCTCCCACAGGTGCAATTGTGGGCCACGCATACCTGTTTCTGTAGTGCTTGTTATCACCGTGAGCAAACTGATCTATCGCCACAAACCGTTTCGCATTCCATTACAAGTAACAACCCCACAGTTCTTGCTATATTTCTGAAAATTAATGACTAATATTTCGGGTCTAGGTGCTCGCGGCCCCACGGTGCTCTTTTAATCCGCGCAAATGAATTAATTTAATGCCTCGACACTTTCGCACGGCAATTATTATTCGGAATGCAATCATCATCAGAGATTTTCCCCCGGAGCGTCGGCAGTTCCGCAGCGTGGCGTAGCGAGGAATTAGTTACTGTAGCGCCGGCCTCGCACCCGTGGGATCGTCAAGCGAAAAACAAACGAAAAACACGAACGACACGAGCTCATCCGAAAAGCTATCGAATAGCCACATGCACAGCTGTGCCCCCCCCCCTTTTCCCCTCGTGTGTGATACGGAATAACACCATTTAGCGTTGCCAACATTCGTGCCCTATACGTTTGGGCCGCAGATTGGACGATTCGAACCACATCTCGCAACGAACGAAAAACAGTTAAAAGGGTGAAGGAACAATAGAAAAAAAGGTATGCGAGTGCGGAAACGTAAAATAAAGAAAGATGAAGGGGTTTGGTACATACACGGTACGTGCAAAAAGAGTTCCTGACTGATGACAAGACAACACGTCTGTGATGAAAGCGGTCCGCCCGGGGTGGCAGAGCGCCGCGGGCTTGCCAACCCATCAGCAGCCGCAGAGTCCCCCCTTTCCTCGCTGTCTCTCTCGCGCCCCTATACTCTTGCGTACGCCACCTCGCCGCATGAAATGTGCCGGCCATAAAACACCGACACTTGACACACATTTACTGCCTAGCCCATCTAGACCGCCCGACCAGTTCGTTCCTAAACTCTCCCCTCTCTTTCTCTCCAGCTCCTTGCGCGGAGGCTGCCTCTGGACATGGGTGTACCGTATGACAGCCGGTGTTGAATGGTGACCGCCCTCTCCCCCC